TTCTTTATTATATTTATATGTTTCACACATCACAAGTTTATTTCGACCAAGCATAAATGGATCATTAAAAACAGCGACTGGTTTAAGATAAATATCTGAATTGAAACCTTCAGCTTGACCTGTTGATGAACCATCGAAATTCCACCATGATAATTCTTTTGATGATCTTGGCTCTTGCTCAACTGTTCGAGTTTTTGCTAATTAAAGATAAAAAAAAACTAATAACACATAAAAGAGAATATATTAATAAACAGGTTTTTTTACCACGAAGATTTTCTCCAGTACCATCAATCCATATGTAAGTAGCCAAAATCTTATTTTCTGGTTGTGGTAACTCCAAATATCGACGAAGAATAGCTTTATCTGTAGAACCAGCATTAGCCGATTTCAGATTCATCATTATGATAATATTTTTACGTTATAATAATCTTGAAATAAAGATAAAAAAATCTAATCGTAACAAAATACGCATCTTAGTTTTCTAATCTATTCTATTAAGAATAGAAACTATAATAATCTTATATTTTGACATGTTGGAATCTTTCTTTTTTCTTTTATCTCTTGGTTTCCTCTTATCGCATCCAGTAAAGTCAATGCCATTATATTTTTTTTCCTTATTTTTACTCGCATACTCTTTTTTTTTCTTTTTCTCTCATTTTGTTGCAGTTTTTGTTCATGTAGGATTTCCTCGATTGTAAGCGCGAAGCAAAGAAACAATCTCCTTTCTGTCTTGAAATAATGAAGTGGCAAAATCTCGTTCTGTTCTTCTTTGCATTTCCATACTATATCATATACTTTTCTCGAGAAATATTAAAAAAATGAGGGCATAACAATATTGAGAAACTAATTATCTCGTGGAAGAAGTATGTTCTAGACCGGAAACATAATAAATAGTATTTTTCTGTGTATAACATATATTCTTTTACATGACTAGTTTTTCAAAAATAAGCAAATAGCAGTACTGAATATATATATATATAACTCAGTGCTAAGACGATCATCATCACGAGTATTTTTAGCAGAACGAAAGAGAAACAAAGACTAGTGACAGCGTCTGCGTAATAAAACAGAAATTTCTCGCTATATTTTATTATATGTAAAGAACTCATAACCTCGTAAACAATTATAATGGATAGCAGGAAAATTTATCCATGAAAGCTCTTCACTGTCAAAGTGCATTTTTTTGCAAAAAGAAATATTTCAAGAAAACATCCTTTTTTTTTTATAAAAACATAAGTATTTGTATAAATTGTTAGAAAAAATCTTAAAAACAATAATAGAAATTTTTTTTTGTTAATATTGAACTAAAATTGCATTTAGTGTTATAATCATTTTTATCAAGACATATGATACCAACAAAGATATCCATTACAGAATAAGTGTCATCGTTTGAAGTAAATCGATAATTCTACAAAGATCTTCATTCCATTGATTAATCTAAAAATACCAAAAGACATGTTTCATTGATTCATATTTACATAAGTTATTTCAAGTCGTTGATTATGCTTGTCATATCGTTCAATATGTATGTTAATGAGGTAGTTCTTTTGTTTCAAAAACAACTTTACAAATATTTTAAGTCATCTGAAGTTTTGGATACAATATTCCTTGAAGAAAAAATATTGCAACATGCAAAAGTAATCAACATCTTTCAAATCTTATTATCGAATTATTTGATACGTTGACTGATAAAGACATTCCGTGTTTTTGTTTAAACAAAATTCTTTCTTTTGATTATTCCGATGATCATAAACATCCATATTTGACTTAGTTTGTTATTGTTGTATATCATTTGTTTTTGTTTCTCCTATTTTCTATCATTTGTTCTTTAATTGTAATTCGTCTGATTGACGCGAAGTATTGATCTTAATTAATAAAACTTCGGAAATATTTGCACATTTTCATAATTATGACACAGAATAAAAACATGCATGATTAAATATCGTTGAAGAAACAAAATACATAGATAAATACAAAACAAAAGCGAAGCTCCTGTGTTTATTCAAAACTATATTTGATCAGGGAACTACCATGTATAACTATAATTAATTGCATTGCAATAGAGAAATGAATATTCTGTTCGATAGATTATTTTTTGTAGGAAAGCAATATCTTGAACAACCCGTATTTAATTAAATGAAAAAAATAGTCAGACATTGTCAGGCTATATTATAATCGAAATTAACTACAAATGTTCTCCTATATGTCTTAATAGAATTTATAATTGCAGCTTGTTCTCAGAAAACAACTAGAGTGCATTACAGTAACAAAACCGAAGAATTGCATGTTTAAAAAGACCATCGGTTAATTAGTCGCATTCAAGCTGAAGAACATTATATCTACAGAATAAAGAAATTAGATTTAGACATTTATAGAGAAACCCATTCCAAGATAATTACAACATGATCGTTATTATCTCATACGAGTAAAATCAGTTAAAATGGTACATGATCATATTCGACTTGATGTTGATTCTTTATAAGGGTTATTATTTTTTTCGACGAGTTCTTTTCCCACGAAACTACATAAAAATATTTGACTCGTGTAGGTCATATCTAATTAAACTTAATAACCTAATTAATAAAAATGCTATTATTGATAACTCTCTAATCTTATCATGGATAAGTCTCATAATTTCAGAATAAATTCCATACCACAAACTATATCTTTGGTAAAATTTTAAGCAAGATCAAATACTACAAATTACCTTTCGAAAACTGGCTTGTCAGAAACCTGCGCATGTCTCAGACGAGACTTTTTGTTTCAATTTCATCACGAGACTCTGAAAAAGGATTTATACCATTTAGCATTGATTTTTGAACTTTTTATTTAGTTACAAGAGGATTTTATGTTTCTATATGCGTACTCATTTACGCCGCTAGCAACAAATAAACTCAATTGTTTGAAAAAACTTAAGCATGTTCAAAACAAATTTTCCCTAGCGATATTCTGTAGGTTGAAGATTGCTTAACAAAACGCTCTATTTAGTACTACTTGAATTTGCAATATTTGCAAATGAAAATGCGTGCTGTAAATAACTTTTTTTCTTATTACTGTCACGTCGCTAACAACATAAAATCACTCATATATCTATAATTTCCTGTTTTCTTCTTCAAAGTATTATTTTATTTCGGTCTTTTCCTTGAGATTTTCTATTGGTTGTTTAATTCAATGAAATATTCATTTTGATCAGATTCTTAATCAATATTGACATATAGTATTTCATCTGAGAAAATATCATCATTAGAATTGACAAATCCCTCTTCTGATTAAATACAAAAGAAAATGCCGACTACAAAAGAAAATAGAGACTAGTAAAAATCAATATAACTGAGCGTTACATTCATTCCTTACTTACAAATTTGAAAAACAAAAAGGAATGAAAATGTATATTGAACAATATTGATATGCACAGTATGTAAGTTAAAATAATACTCTTATACCAATAGAATAATTACTAAAATGAATAACTTTTTATTAACGAATGCGTCATAAAAAAATGGTACCATTCATATTTTATCTTTATCTTTTCTACGCTTGTAGATAGAAAACTACGCTTGGTTTCAAACGATTTGCTATTCCGTTCTCTATAAAGTCACACCAGAACATTAGATCTAATCTTTCAAACTGCTCGAAAGACTCGAAGAATACTTAGCTTCTCCAATATGTACCAATTTCTAGATGACGCTTTCTAAACAATGTTTACTATTTTGCTATTTTGTTTTGGTCAGGTGAGACATGTTACAGAAAGTTTATTATAGTAACAGGCACAACTCTTTTTGTGACAATGTGCAGTTACGAACACTTCCAAATTATACTATTACAGAGAAACGAGCTTCTTCACATTAAGTGACAAACCCTATGTACAGTAGAAATATTTCTTTTCACTGAGTACAAACTTAAACTTCTATTATGAGTATTTCATCTTTGTTTTCATCAATTTTCTTGCAAACTGATCGAGAATTTACGTTAGAACAGCCCATTCTAGTAATCTCTCATCAAATTTCTCCAATTTGAAAGAGTATTGATTCATCGTGATCGTTATCGTAAACTTTCATAAGAACAGTGAACCCTTCTAAACACGAGTATATGATGAGATAATTGGTCGTTAAGAGACTTCCAGGTGTAGCTGCCAATTGACTGTTTGATGAGAGATAAATATTCCTCGGAAGACTAAAGCTGTAGTGACTATAAATTTCAAATACGTGTTGTTGCATGTTAGAGAAGTTGAGTGCTGTCTGATCTTCGCGGCAATTTTTAAGGTTAAATCTCATGTTTTCGTGCGGCTTCGTGGAGACTCGAACACTAAATCTTTTAGAATCAAAGTCTAGTTTTCTTGATACAAACGTTACCCAAATAAATAGAAAATATCGATGAAACCATTATTTATGGTGCGCTCGTTAGTATTAGCTTTCCAATCTGGTATTTATGTAAGAAATTCTTTTGTTCTGTTCGATATTTTTTCAGAACAGTGGTATTATTTCATAATACACTGTATGAGACAGAATGTAATAAAAGGTAACTGACAAGGATGAAGTTTTGAAGGAGATCATATTAGGTCATTTCTCATAAAAAGCAGAGTCATTTATTTCTAATGAAACAAATGTTGTTCATTATTTATTTGTTTGTTTTCTTTAATAATCGTTTGCTAGATTTCTCGCAAACTATAGTAGATTCGTTTATACCACTCAATCACTTATTGAATTAAATTAGACAAACAAAAAAAAGGCAATCATTCTTGACTAAAATATAAAAAATGAACAATGACAAAATAACGACCATTATAAAAAAAAGAACGCCATTCATTGATAAAATGTCTTATTCATATATCTGCATTAGCCAGAGAAGCCATTAAACGATCAACATGAAGACCAGCTTCAATTATTTAAAAAAAAGACATTTTTTCATGAAAATGATTATCCCGTAAAGATAATATTTGGCTGTACATGATGTTCTATAAAAGACAAAAATAAAAAGGATTTCATTATAAAAAATTAGAATTAGAATTCACCAGTAACACAGCGTGGTCTTTCATTAGGCATCCATCGACCATGATTACAGGTTAATCCAGTTGGTCCATGAAGAACATAGCCTAATATTATAAATGCAATTCTTTATTTAAAAAAAAAAAACTAAGCCATCATCATACCTGAATTACATTCAAATTCAATGGTTCGACCATGACTAACGTTTGGTATGTAAGAACGAAATTCACTTCGAATTGGTAATGGTGACACACGTTCATCTTTAAGTACAACATATATTCGTCCATTTAACAGCGGGCCAGGATTAGGACAAAAAACTAGAAGAAAAAAACAATGTAAAAATATCTGTTAAGATTTTTCTAAGAAAAGATTAAATGTAATTAAGCGCCCCCTCAAAAATCGATCTCAGCCCAGGAACATCCAAATTAGATGAAACTTTGAGGGTATGCTGGAACTAGAAAGGGAAGACTACCATAAAAGTTTTAGCCCGAAAACTTCAAGTTTCAGGGAAATATGAGCCAAACAAAGGTCAAAAATGACCCATTTGGCATCCTAAATTTCTTGGTCCTGGTTCGTTCAATATATTAATATTTTTTTGTTGTTGGAAAGAGCATCTCAAGACGCAGGGCACAAGGAAGTCGCTTTTTGAAATAGTCCTTTTTTAAGTGCAAAAAAGGGAGCAAAAGTTCAATGACTGAAAGAGTGTCAAACAATGGTAATCAAATCATATAACTGGCTGTATATTGGTTAAACAAAGGCTTAATTTAAAAAAGCGGCTTCCGTGTGCCCTGCGCCTTGAGATGCTCTTTCAAACAAACAAAAATATTAATATATTGAACGAACCAGGAAGGAGAAATTTGGGATGCGCTTTTGAGAAAGCGAAAACTGAGAAAAAAATGAAAAACATTTTTTGATTTTTCAAAAAACAGCTGGTTTTTCGAATAGGGGTTGACGGAAATCTTGAAAATTTTTTGGGAAAAATGAAGTAACGCGAAAAACAAATTATCTTTTATGAAAGAGCAGATGACGGGCTATCTTCCCATGTATTTATCTCAATTTCGGAATTTTTGACGAAAATTGACTTTTTTTTTTTTGAGGGGGGAGGCCTTAACAGACAAAAATTATTTCTTTTATAAAATGTCACATTGAAAATTCTTAATAATCCTACAAATTCTGATCTGTCTAAATACCTCTGTTTTACTATTATCTAAAAATGAAAATTAGAATTTTTTTCTAAGGATTCCGAGTTACTTACTTTTTCTGTTTCGAATATAAAAATTACAGATTGTCATAGAAAGACTGAAGTATGAACATAACTCAATAATATGTAGGTAACTAATCAAACATAATCACATTGACTAGTATATATTTATTTAAGGAAACGTAATTGCTAATTAATAATAAAATTGATCACGGTCATATTAGGCGTACTCTGCTGTCTATTAGATAGAAATGTCTGTCATGGTCTCTGATAAAAGAAAATATAACACGCTATGACTGACATTCAGAGGTCATCTTTTTTTATGAATGTTTTGCGCTAAGTACTATAAAACATTGACTTTCACTCTCATTTCATCAGCAACATAATAAGTCGATGTCCATTCGCTTAAGTCTATCGTATCAGTTGACAGTATATTAGATCTTAGTCTGTAGAAATACTCATTAAAGCATTGCTTCATTTTGGATTCAACTATGAAATACTCGATGTATGATGGGCTATTGAACACAATATCCAAATTCTATTACAGTGTGTAACAGAGAGCGAATTGAGACGTGTATTTTCGAAACTGAATTAAACATATGCGAGACCAATTTTAGCCCCTGTGGCTGGGTTCGGGATCGGAGCCTTGAAAAAAATCTTACCGTCACTGGAGCCAGATTTACCCGGAAAAACATTGTCCCCACTGGAAATAAAGATTATAGTTAAATATTTCATGGTTTTAAGCGAATTATCAATCAGAACATCATTTAAAAGAGACGACCCAAAAAAGTGCTGCTCGTAAAATAAATAAATCAAAAAACGAGTATCAATTTTGGAACAGTTTTTTGTAGATCGGGACTCGAAAAACAAAAATCACTGAGACCGAGACCAATAAAATTGGGATTTGCATATCTCTAAACCAAACCGATCCCATCGGTAATATATAATTAAAATTTGCTTTTCAACAGAAACCAAAACAAAAAAAGTTCTTCTAATTTAATATCCTCAATCTTCAAAATAAAAATAAAGATTCATCTTTACTTACTCGGCAAACATTTGGGTAGTTGTTTTGGTAACCATAAACCAAATTGACATGTTAATTTTACTAGATTATTATTTTCTAGTTTGTAACCTGGAAAACATTTATATCGTGCCATAGAACCATGTGTTGTTGAATGAAATATTGTTCGACCATTATTTATTACTGGTGGATGTTCTTTACATGATTTTGGTACACAATGTGCATGATGTGATAATTTTCCATCGTCAAGACATTCAACGGTTGCTGATTGATTAACTGGTTGATAATCTTGAATACATGTATATGAAAATGATGAACCAATTTGAAATGATGTTCCAGATGAAATTGTTGTATTTACAATATTACGTAGAAAAAGTGTGTGAGGAACGACACACATCATTGTCAGAATCGGTTGACAAACAGGTTGTTTAGAAAGATTTCCATTAATACAAAGTATTGTTTCATTGTTTATTGAAGGTAAACTATGATTATTACAAGTAAAATAAACTTTTTCTCTATGACGATAATTTTTTTTTGAAAATTTTATTTGTTCATCTTCAACTCGACAATCTAAATCATTAAACAAAATGATTTTATTTTTATTTTCGTTTTTTTGGATTTATTTTACCATTAAAACATTTTGGCATTCGTGGTAAAATTTTTCCTTGTCGACAAAATATTCGACGACGATATCGAGAATTGCCACATACATATTCTAATTGACTACCATCATCAATTTGTTGTATAAATGGACGAAAATTTCGATAACGACCATTTGGAGGTAACGATGGAATTGAACAAGGTATGGGTTCTATTCATAGCAAAGAAAACAATAACAACAATGAAGAATAAAATTAAATCAAAGAATAAAAATATACTTTCACAGTTGGGAATTTTTGGTAGCCAACTTCCATTAAATTGACATTTGGATATACGTGAACCTCGTAATATTAAATCTGATGAACAATGAAATCTTACTATTGTATCAATTAAATATTTTGATGAGTTATTATTTGATAAAGATTCAATATAACCATTAAAATTTGTTTGAGGATCATCACATGTTATTGCTAAATATTATTTTTTTTTTTATAAATTTGAAAAACAAAAAAATTAAATAAAAGAAAAACTCACGTTCACATATTGGTGGTGTAGGTTGCCATTGAGATAATATACATTTTAAAATTGATGATCCATGTAATTGATATCCATCTTGACATATATATTGAACTGTTTCATTTGTTGTTCGATCAGGTTGAATTATTTGACCATGAGAAACTAATGGAGGTGGCCCACAGGCTTTTTCTGAAAATGAATCTTCTAAGATTAAATCAGTTCAAGAGTTGATTACATTATTGGGGTAATCAGACGAACACTCACCTTCTCTCTCTACGAACGTTTGAGGTTCACTTAAAAAAGAGTTTGAGCCTTTGAGGGTCTCCATTCCTTCAGCAGACATCCTCAGCAAGCTGAATCACCTCCTACAGCTTTTTTCTAGTTATGCCACGAGAGTGCACGACAATATACCTCAGCTAATTATCCTTGGTAAATCACTAACGGCTGTTTATTTCCAATCACCCGTTCAATATCACGCTCACTACGTTGTGACATGCACATGCCCTTGTAGCTGGGCATGTCTCAATAACAATATGACTGACATTGAGATATTGGTATTGACTAATGTTAATACAAACACCAATTAATACTAAAACCATTCAATGTCACTACCTGTCACTAACAATACTACTCAACTGCAATACTAGTTAACACCAAATGGTATTGGTGATATTGTGACATACCTGCTTGTGGCTAATATGTGGTTAGTTAGTATGGTATGGAGAGGTCAAAAATAAATCGAACACAAGAACTTCGCGGCACACTGGCTTTTGGTTTAGAGCTACAGCTAGTATTAGTTGTAGGGAAGATATCGGACTATTGAATCGATCATTAGGCAGTACCTCGTAACGAAGGCAGGGGTATTCTGCTTAATTATACTTGATCTAAGGAGGAAACTATCCGAGCTGCCGCTTGTCATTTGAACTCATGTTAAGCTCACAAATAAATCTCGTTAAAACTAAAAAAGCTTATAAGGTTTCTTGCTCATATGTCACTGGAGCTGAGTTATAACCGTTTTACTAAATTCTCGACCAACAATTTTGCTTGTAGATAGGTCGAATGAACCTTGAAATATCCTGAAAGTTTTATTCGAAAAGAATGTTCTTTTGTCGAGATATTGAATTTTCAAGTACACTCGACTTTTGTGACATATCTGTGTCAAGTGTCTACTTGTTGGAAATTCAATATCTCGACAAATGAACATTCTTTTTTGCTGACACTTTTACGATATTCCAAGGATCACTGGATCTATCTGCGAGTTGAATTTTCAGTTGAAATTTCATTAGTTAATTTTTCAGTAAATATCTAAAACTGAGTTGAAAATACAGTAAAACGATCATAACTCGGCTCCAGACACCCACGGAACAAATTCTTGTGAGCTTTTTCTAGTGTTGCCAAGACTTACTTGTGTCTCCAATATGAGTTCAAACAGAAAATTACAGTTGAATTAGTTCCCTCGTTAGTACTTCTATGGCTTATTATTATCTACTGTTTCTTTTATTTGTTTTCATTTTATTCAACAAGAGCATCACTTCAAGATTAACGTATAAATCTAAGAATATTCTCGAATTTTATATGTTTTTATCTAGTGTTATTTTATTCTTAGAAAATTTCTTTTTATTACTTTGACAAAAAGGCATTGTACCAGACCATAAACCATTTTCTTGACAAGCTCTTGTTGTATCCTTTCCAATAAGTTCAAAACCATCATTACAAAAGAATGCTATGATATTTGGATAATCGAATCGTTCACCACTTAAAAATCCATTACGTAATATACCCGGTGAATCACAATCAATAGCTATTCATATACATATTTTGTTTAAACAAATAACCATAAAAACAAGAATATTCATTACTTACGAGCACATTTTAATGTTGCAAATGTCCATTGACCTAAAAAAGTACATTCTGATGTTGTTGTACCATTTCTAATAATAGAACAAAGAAAACGAAAATAATTAAATTTCTTTTTATTTGTTTATTTTTGTCATCATACCCAGCATAACCCGTTAAACATGTATATTTAACTGAATAACCAGCATGAAATGTTGTAATTGTACTCGGAACATCGTTAACTGCATTCATTATATCTGGTGGTTGATTACAAAAAACTATTTTGAAAAAAAATCAATTAGTAATATCAAATACATTGTATGTCGCTCTAATTATATCATAATTTTCTTCAATTCACTGAGCATTATAACAAGTCTAGACTTATGTATAATAGAAATAGAACACCTAAGTCAATGTCCTATGCTTATCTCGATACACATATAACTTTGATGTATTGAAATCATCGATAGATGATCATCTTGACAAGTATCAAAATGTCAAATTCAATTCATTATACCTTCTTTCGCACAATAAGGTACAGAATTGCTTGGACCCCACCACATATCACCTTGACAATGTCGATATTTTGAACCTTCAAGTACATAACCTGTGTCACATTCATATGTAGCACGTGAACCAAATCTATTTCCATTTGAATAGATTATATTTCCATGATCCGGAGGAGTTAAAAACGGACAAGTGATACCTTAATTAATAAAAATCAATAAGAAAACAACAAAAGAAAAAAAAAAGCTGTCACCTCGTTTTACACATGACATGCCACAATCATAATCACATACACATGAACGATATCGACTTTGACAATCGCTATCATCAAAACATGATTTAAAACATTGACGTTGTCGTGTTACTTCACGTTTACGTGGACAATAAGAAAGATCTCGAATCCAATACGCTAAAATAAATATATCAGACTGGTTAATTGAATTTTAAATATTCATTCTATTGTTATAGAAACAAAAAAGAAGAAAGAAAAATCTCTGTTAAAATAACATTAGTTCAATTTGATTGCTCCTCCTCTTCTTGACCTTGCTTTACTTTACTTCTTCACTCAATAAAAACAAAAGTTGATTGCTACTAAATTACTTCTGTCTATACATTTATATATATATATATATATGTCATGTGAAGTTAACACCCTTATTTTTTTATTATTTTAACCTGAACACTTGGCAAAGATTAAAACAAAACAAAAAGAAAAAAGAAATTTTATTTTTTACCTTCAGTGTAACTTGCCAATTCCCATAATAATAAGAATTGTAGAAGATAAGAAAACATATTGATTATTTTTGTTCTCATTAGAGAATATATCAAATCATCTTCAAAGAGAAAAAAAATCGAAATCAATTCCCTTAGTCTCATAATAAAGTAAAAATCTATTCTTTTTTTTTTGGAAAATATCAAACACAATGATTAAAATCCCGAAAGAATATTTCTAATTTATGCTCATACTTTTAATCACTACTTTTATCATAGAAAATATGTCGCATAAACTTAAATGTATATCTTGATGTCATAATATCCAACAATAATAAATAGGTAATCGTCAAAATAAATATCGAACCATTCCTTTTGTACATATCTTACGTCCTTGGTTGTTAAAACAAAATTAGATATAAACTGTCCACAAGAGTCATTTTATATTCAATAAATATACACACTTGTAGTTCGTACACTATCACCTGTCATACCTACTCTATAATTGATCGTTATATCCACATACGAACTGACGTGTATGCATGCACAAGTAAAAGAATGAGAAAGAAAGAGAAAGAGAAGTTGTTATATTTAGTTAGTAGTACTAAAGAGAATAATTCTGATTTATACTTAAGAGAAAAAAAAATGCAGTGCAATTTGTCTCTTTTTATTCGTAAGAAATGAATGTGTGTGTGTGTGAAAAACGAGAATATTCATGTTTTTTAAGATTTAAGAAATCTATACTTACAGATCAATAAGACCAAAGGAGAAGTCGACGGATATCTCGTGTTAAATTACGACCACGTACACACACACGCACACACAATCCGATAGTCACTGAATGATATTTTGAACTTGCATCATCATACATAAATAAGGAAGCAAATGTGTTAGCATGATATATATATATATATAAGAGAAAAAAAGCCTCATTGTGTGAACAAATCTTTAGAGATGAGCAAGATAATATTGAATATTATTCACTCACGTATATATACGGCTGTTGAGGGACTATGACTACTATTTAAGAAAAAAAANNATGTGTTAGCATGATATATATATATATAAAAGAGAAAAAAAGACTCATTGTGTGAACAAATCTTTAGAGATGAGCAAGATAATATTGAACATTATTCACTCACGTATATATACGGCTGTTGAGGGACTATGACTACTATTTAAGAAAAAAAAATGAAAAGAGATGAGTTGTTCAACGCTAGACAAACATTATGCATTGTACCTACTGCTGTTGGCAGTATATATTATATATACTCAAACGTGCGATGATGCGAAAAGAGTTTTCTTTTGAACACAATTGAGTCCGGAAGCTTGTTGTTTGTCGAGTATAGTCGTAAGTATACTAAAAACAACTTGCATTATGCTTTTATATGAAGTTCATCCATATTACATAACAATATTTTATTATGATTGAACCATAATCATTCTATATGAATAATAGCATCAAATAAAAAAACAAGGATACAATAAAAAAAAAAATATTCTTTTTTTTTTCTTTGTTGTTCCAATCCATTACTTATAAGTATGAATAAGATATAAAAAAATATGTACACTACTACAATATGAACTAAAGAGATGTATTACATATAAATAACAATTATTTAACATAATTTATCAAGGATAGAAAAAATGCAATACAGTGTTTATATGATCATCTTTTATGATGTTTGTTTTCAAGGATATATGTTGATGTTAAATGATTGAAATCAATGTCGGATAAATGACATTAATATGATAATATTGGCAATACAAATTGAAAAATTAATTTGATTGACGACAGTATATGATAAGTTGTACTAAAACATTAGGGATATAAATATAGTAGATGCAATAAAATCTTTTCTATAAAACGAAACGGACTTCAACTAATAGTTCTGATTTTATGTTAGAGTTATATTTTATTTGTTTATGATGTGTTTCATTATTATTATTTTTTTTATTATGTACTTTTATATTTTACAAAATTTATATACGCCATTTAAAAAAAGCCTCTATATAGATCATGTTAAATTACTACTTGTGAGTTGATGTACTTGAAGAAATAAACTTTCTATTTGTTTTGTTTATATTTCAACTGTTGATTTGAATTCGAAATTGTAATTTGATGGTACAATTTCTTTTTAAATTGTCATGAATAGATCATTCATTGTTTAGAACAATATATTTCATTACGAAATGATATTCAGATTTGTTGATTGTCTTTACAAACAAAGCTCTAATAAATATTAAATTAAAAACTTAAGACATCATTATTGCCTAATAAAATATACATCAGTATGTCAACAAGAAACGTCAATTACTAAACCAATAAAATAATGGCTGATAGAAAAAATAAAGACATTATCTCTGAAAAGTTTGATTGATTCTTAAATTTATAAAACAAAAATTGTACATTGAAGTTTATCTTATATATATAGAAAAAAATTCTTCCATGTTTTGATAGTAATTACAAATGAAATAGCTTTCATGACTTGAAAAAAAAATATCATTAAGAAGAAAAAGTAAATACTTTAACTGTTCGATTTATTAAAAAACAAGATGCTTTGAAGTCTATGAAATTTAAGTTTACTATTTCATTTTAATGTCAAAAGATTGAAGTACGTAATAGGCGATCAACATTCTCTAGAAGCTTTCATGGAAACAAATATTCTCAAAGAATACTGTTTTAAATTATGTCAATGGAAGAAATTAATAAGCTAATTAGAAATACATTATTATAAGTTGTTATAGTCTTTAGATTAGAATTAATCGAAAAAGGCTTTCGAAGTCTTGAAGTATTAAAATCGATTATATCTCATTGGTATCAATATTGAATCGTTTTTCATAAATAAAATCTCGTCCTGTCATCAACGCCCTCTTTAATCTTCATTTCTCAATATTTATTGGTTATATCTAAAGCAAATTAGATTTGTTAGAACGAACCTTTTAACAATCGATCGGTCGAGTCGCACGAACGGGCGATGCTACTAACTGTCCGCCACGATGATTTTTGTTTATAGAACTTTATCGTGATAAATATAATCAATCGATGGTGACTTTCTATTCTTTTCTTTGTCAACAAAACACAAAAACTCTAATCTTCAATAGACAATATATATATATTTCTCTTTTTCTTATTCTATACCCGGAAATATATGTGTATATTAAAAACCAATGAGGATGGATCTTTAGAATGAATAGTTTGTTCTCTTTCTTTTATATTTGTAATATGTGTTGTTTTTTGCTTCTTTTTTTTCTTTACGCTTGGATTCTATCGATTAATCACGTGAATACGATGTGTGCCCTCTACCGATAGGTGTTGTTATTGTTTTAAATTAGTCTTCAAATAAACAACTAATAACAAACCAATTTGTTATTTATTATTTATTATTTCGTTATTTAGATATGAAAAAAATAAAACTTATTCTAGAATGAATCTCGTTTCAAAACCAACTGAAAATCAATTTAATTCACGTGGTAAAAAGAAGCTGTTTTTTTTTGAGATTTCAAAATATAAGAAACTTATTTTTATTTTTCTTCATAAAGGCCAAGATGTTCTTCCATTAACCTTTAAATTATTTCCTCAACGTAGTGAATCAGTCGACAACGGTAATCGTACATCACCGTCGAATAACCCTTTACAACGTGTATGCAAAAAAAAATTAATCATCTTCATTGTTTTGGGTATTATTTTATTTTTCGAAATATTTTCATTTTAGAATCTTTCACAACCAGATATCGCCAATCCAGTAGACACGGAAACTCTTACATTTAAACCAATTCCAACATCACCATTTCGTTTATTTGGTTCAACAGCATCTGTATCATCAAGTAATACTAGCAATACATTAAAAAAATTATCAACAACGGATAAAGTACGACGAAAACGAACACCAAAAATTGATGATAATATTGATGGACAAAAAGTAAAAAGACGAAAAAGTGATATGAATATGAACCAATCAAAACAACAAGAACCTTCATTACCAAATCCTCTATTATTATCAATGGAAAAAAAAATGACAACCGATACAAATAAAGTAAATGACAGAAGAAAAAGTTTCTCATTTATGTTTAAACGTCTCATTTGTTTCTATTTTTTTGAAGACAATTGCAAATTATCGAGATATTGGATTTTCACCAGCTTCATCAGCACAAAGTGATTCATGCTCAAATTCCAATCATACATCAGAATCATCTACTATATCAATACTTAATTCAAAACAAACTCAAGTATTTAAATGAATAATACTTATTCTTATGAAAATCATAGTTTTATTTTAGACTGATATAACAGGAACAATTAATTCTACAACAGATGAACTTGAAGCTAAGAACAGTCAAATACAAACTTTAATTCGAGTAAATTCATTTTTTTCGAAATTTAAAAATGGATTTTCATTTTATATTTTTTTCTTCTTCTCATGTTAAAGGAACGAGATGAATTACGTCGACAACTATCAGATGTTAAAAAAGATTTTGATAAACAACATAATATACTTCAAAAATGTCTGGCTGTTAATAAGAAATTACTTGTAGAAAAAGTATGTTCGTTAGACTCATTATTTTCATATTAGAAAAACATAATATTATCGAAAAGTTATTTGACATTTTTCAGTCTATATCGACATTTGACAAAACATTGAATTTTGATCAAAATTTTATATTATTTTTGAATATGAGTGAAGCATTTCTTTTCAGACTTTTGATGCGCTGGAAAGTGTTCAAAGCATCAGAATTTTTGCCTATTTTTGTTGTTTGAGAGTAGTCAACGACTTTTTGAAAGACCTGAAAATGATGAACTAATAGTTATTCTATAAATCCTTTTTCGAGCATGCTAATACATGTCAGAGTCGATCGATTTGTAGAGCAGACATTTCTCTACAAAACGTAGTATTGAACAAAGCTGTAGCTTTTATTGGAGACGTTGTATTACAGATTTGTTTTTTGCATAGAATCTAAGACAAAGTTATCTCCTACAAATTTATATAAGAATTAAGAGTTTCAGAACCAGATTGAGCTCATTTTACTGGTCTGTTTGTCATAGAAATTGAGAAAATTGACATGCGACACAGTCGCTGTTA